AACGCAGACAAACAGAAAAATACTGAAGATAAGACCAAACGAAATATCGTTCAACAAATACAAAAGGTGAAAAATTAATTCGGTCTACAAAATACCCTATTGAAGAAAGACACCAAAGACAAAAGACATTACAATATAAACAATCATAATGGCTTCATTAACTTAACTGATTAACACAAAAAAATATCTCTGCGAGAAAAACTGAAAACGAAGAAATACGGAAAATAACTAAGATGACTGACACCATTTTAAAGTAAGCCAGATTGAGTACATAGCGAGACTGACAGATGGTCAATGGAGAATAAGGCTAAAAACCACTTGGGATAAAAAACTCATTGGCTGACCAAAAACACAATGAACGGACAAGTTAAAGAAAGTGAATAAACATTCGGTGATAGCGGCACATGGTAGATAGGACTGGAAATAAATGAAGAAGATACATGGTACGTGGTACTTATTCTACCTTATCACACTGTAACGAAAAACTGTTACTCAATTATTTCAATATATATCTTCAGAGCAAAAAAATCTATTATTAAATATTACAATAACAAATTGCGTTATTGCTCAATAAATGAAATAAGTATAAACTCATTAATAAATAATATGTACATACCTACTAATGTATCCCTAACTGACCGGAAAAACATAAATAATCTATTTAACTGGTTCAAATTCACCATTGGAAGTCGTAAATTTCTGGAGATCATCTGTCAACGCAAAAATAGGAGACATCCCCCAACCAGGTCGAATCTCTTTTTTACCTTGTCGGCAAAAAGACGACGAAGAAGGAAGATTTTTAACACATTGATTAAGGGCATTAAAATTTTATACGTGGTGACACGTTGATGGGTACGGCTTCTGAATGCCATCTCAGGGAAAAAACTCTATAGGAAGAAGATAAGAAAATCTTGTAATTTTGTATGATTTAATAAGTGTGACTCTCAGAGTTCTCTACGTGATGACCCAATGCTAATACACGCAAAAGATCAGGAGTAGCAGAAGTTATTGAAAGGATAACAACACTAAAGTGGAACTGGGCAGGTCATGTAGCAAGATCAGTTGATGACCGGTGGACAAAAAGAATTTTGGAATGAAGATCCCAAATACAAGCTAACAGAAATAGAGGTCGACCCCCAACGAGATGGACAGATGGCATAAAAAGAATGACTACAAATTGGATTCAGATGGCGCAAAATCGGACTAAGTGGAAAAGCATGCGAGAGGCCTATGTTCAACAGTGGACGTTAGAGACTAGTTGATGAATGACAGTAACAAAGACTCTCAACTTACCGCAGAAAAAAATGCGAATACTCGATCACACAACCGCATCATAGGAAACCATTGAGGAAACCTTATTTTCTAGACAACTTGAAAACGTTCATATCAACATTTTATTAGGCACTTAAGGGAAAAAAAGTGCAGCTACGTCTTTAATACGCAGTTTGTATCGTAAGAGAAATTACAAATTTCTAACATAATCACACCCAGTCAAAATTAATGACATGGGAACTGAAGTACTGCATACACAGACGTAATAAAAAGTTTACGAAATTTTATATGTACAGTGACAACCAAAATTTTAAAGACTAGAAAAATAAAATGCTACAACACAACAAAAATATGCTATTTTTCTACATTTAACTTCCCAGATCAGTTAAAATGAATGGTATTCTAGTGAAATACTAAACAGAACGGTTTTTTTTCTTCTTCTGTAAGTGCCAATTCGTTACCGAACGTTAGTGATCCTCATGGCTATTGGTATTATTGTAGTATTTGTACATAAATTCTTCTTTTTCTTTTTATTAAACAATTTTACTTGTTCAGTGGTGGATTATTGCTTTTATGGAAGATTGCAACTTCATCACTGATGTTATTCTTCTGTTCTTTTTTCTACTTATTGTTCAATAGTTTTAACAGTGCATTTTGATCTGATTTAGTCACTCTTTATTCGGTCTCTCAGCGTGTTTTTTGTAATTCTTCTGAGTATTCTCATTCCTGCTGTTTCCAGTACTCTCTGCATTTTGGCTGTGTCGGGTTTTGTTTCTGATAAGTATGTCAATATTGGCCTTACAGCTTCTTCATTTCATCTCACAGTTAATGTGTTGGTTACGCCATATAGTGTTATTAAGGAATCTTGCTATTCTATTTGCTCTTTGTCCTAAATATCTTACTCTTAGACAGACAGTACAATCCCTAGGTACTTTATTTCCATTACTTGTTCAATGCTCACTCTATCGACTTACAGTTTACATCTTGATGGTTCCTTACTGATTACAGTTGTTCTAGTTTTGAATTGAAATCATCATGTTATAGTTTTTTTGCTCTTGTATAACATCTGTCAACTAGTTTTTGAAGGCTATCAATATTGCATCATCTGCATAATAGTGAATTTTAATTTTATTGTTTCCCATTCTGTATTATCTTCTTTTATTAACGCTCTGTATGATTTCATCCTTGAGTAGATTGAATAGCATAGGGCTTAGTGAATCCTCCTGCCTTCAATTGCCTCTTTCATTCATTCAATCATTTGTGGAGTTAATCATTATTCCCAGATATGTATATTTGTCTACTTCTTCGACGTTGATTCTGTTTACTAGAAGATTCTCGTTATTTCTTTGAGTTTTAGATATTCCCATAAATTTCGTCTTCTTCACATTCATTGTTAGACCATACTCCGCTATTCTGGTCAGCAGTCTCTGAAGATCTTCAATATTTTCGGCTAAGATCACAGTGTCATCCGCATATCTAATTTTGTTAATCGGAACTCCATTTACCTTTATTCTAGCTGTTTCACCCTCAAGAGCGTTTTTCGGGATCTCTTTGGAGTAGGTTAAACAGAATTGGTGACAATTTTGATATGATCCTGAGGTCGTTGTAGTCAATCTTCTTTAATTTCAGGATATTCATTAATTGTCCTTTGTGATATATTCGGTTATGGAAGATTTTTAGTGGTAACTGTTGTTCAATTTTCTCACATGCGAAAAACCATGTCATTTTTTCGCTGTATTATTAACTATCCTAATATCACAATTTTACAATAATTATCTTAGTCCAACTCTTAATAACCCTTCCTACTTACAGTTTAACCCCCTCCCTTACGAAATACAGACAGTTCTAAGATAGCAAAGAAGAAAGACTAACTCTCTTGATGGTCGCCTGTCGCTAAGGACAGCTCATTATCTCTCTCTTCGCTAATCAAGAAGAACAGCATCTATCTTGGTTGTTTGTCTATCGCTAATTATCTCTCTCCAGTTTTAGTTGCGCGAGAAATACTGCAAACACTATTTTAAATCGTGTACAGACAACGTGTGCTCTTATCTCGCAAAGTGTAGTACCGCGAAACACGTGTTTAGAAAAACCGCGAGTGTGCCCGGACATATTCCGCATAAGAAAAGAAAAATCGCGAGTGTGTGGAGCAGAAAAAATATTGGTAAGACTTTCTATAAACTTAATCTGCTATTGTCTGTATACCTTTTATTACTTATCCTAATTTTATTGAACCAGCCCTATATAATACAGTCCACATACACGGAAATTATATTAATAATTTCCCACATATGTACACATTTTTGTACAACTGTTGTACATGAGACATCAAGCTAATGTGACAGGTGCGATAATCGCTGCATTCTCTTGAGTTTTTCTTTTTGGAGAGACAAATAAAAATCGACGTTAACCATTCTTAGGGTAATACACCTGAACTAAAAATTTGATTCAAGAGTGTCAGTAAAACAACAATGTGGTTTTCATCTAGAATTTTTAGGATTTCTATAGGAAGCATTTCAGGTCCAGAGCTTTTCCCACTCTTCATTGTTTTTATAATGCGTGTAATATTTCTCCTTTTGTAATATATGGACCTATCCAGATCTCCTCTTTCATCATCGAACAATTCGTCGATTGTTTTGATAGATGTTTTCAATATCCAGCTTCTTCTTCTTCTTCTAGTTCCATGACCGTTGTCGATCGTTGGATATCATGTTGGCTACCATATTCGCTATCGTGACTTTATTGACAGCAGCTCTAAATAACGATGTAGTTGGTTTTCCATACCATTGCCTTAGATTTTTTAGCCATGATGTTCTTCTTCTACCAGGACCACGATTACCTTGGATCTTTCCCTGAATGATCAGACGTAAAAGATCAAGTTTTTCAGGGTGTCTCATAATATGACCGAAGTATTCCAGCTTGCGTTTCTTTATTATATTGACCATATCCAGCAGTATCTCTTTATTATACAACATGTGTATTACATCTTTAAGTTTTACTCTGTCAAATGTCGTGTGCAAGTCAATCAAACATACAGGTCTATGTCTAATGTATTCTAATGCTTTGGTTTTAATCTGTTTTATGACGAATCTGTACATGACCTTCCCGTATGGAAACATTGTTGCTCACCTGCTCAACAAGTTTATGATTTACAAAATTTTATTTGAAAGATTCAGGATAATATTTAGCAAATCGATACTTCCGTAGTTTTCTGGTTGTTTCTTATTGCCCTTTTTGAATAATAGGATTAGTCATACGAAAAAAATGATTTATTACAAGACGAATCTATAAGAGACCCATAAAAAAAGGAGATTACATAAAAAATTATAAGAATAAATGTATTGTTTAATATTTTTTTAACTTGTAATGACAACTTTGTAGATAGATATTACTTTTTGTGTATATTGGAGCCCCATATCCTCAGCCCTCTTCAAATTCTTAGTAATCGAACATGCGTTACCTTTAATTTTGCAAGTTACAACGTTGGATGTAGTAACCGATGTTGCACGCCTGGGACGCGGGCTTGTCTGTGACGTCTCAGAAAACTAGCACGCTTGGATGACGTCGTAATCACGGTCAACCGCCGAGTCTGTCAGTCCGTGTGCACGTGAACACCATGCAAGCGATCACGCAGTGTTTGAGTGTTCAGCGGCCTCCCGATTGGCCCGGAGACACGAGCCCCCACGCACCATTGGCCGATTCACGGATGCAGCGCGCTACACACCCCAACAATCCCATGCCAGAACAATATCAAGAAAGCTCCAATTCAAAATAGTAATATCGCTCCCGATCTTCGAGCTGTTATACAGACTTTTTTATATTATTGTGAATTTGTTTAGTGTTTATTTGTGCAAGACTATGCTCATTCATGAAAAGATGTCTCAGGGGATCATTTCCCCACCATCTACACCGCCCCTAAAGAATGTAAGTATTTTTTAAATTAAACCCCCTGTTCTTTGTTTCTGTTTATTCGATTTTGATGTTGCGAAATATTAGAAATGTCTATAGGGCGTTAGAAAGTATTTTACTGATGAATATTTATGCATGCATTCAACGCTTTTATGTAAAAATGTCAAAAAACAGTGAATCAGGTTGCCCTGGAAATACATATTTTATGGATATTTTATTAATGAGTGGGTTTTGCGTTTTTTTATTCATATGTCACCTTTTTTAATTACAGTATTTATCCATTATTATTTTTGATTTCTATTGTTTTAATCATTACATTTGTTGATTCAAAGTTTTAATGAAAAAAAATCAACAAATTGTCTTAATTGTTTCCTAAAAACACTGATTTTGTAAAAGTTTATGATGATATTAATTGGCTTTAAAATGAAATCATTTATATTTCTTCTAGTTTTTCGTCTGTTTTTATCTTGTCTTTAAATTAATATGAACATGATTTTTGTTTCCTTCCCATGTTTTCTTTCTTTCGTGATTAGATTTCTATACCTTTCATAACTGACATAAACATGCATGTCTTATTTGTGTGTTCAACCCTATCCATACTTTGTTTTTCGTCTTTTTGATCGTTCTTTCAGTTTTCATTACTTTTAGTAAGCTACCTATATTCTATACTCTATATTATGTACTCTATTAGATATTTGCAGTGAATTGCCTCTATTTTATTGTGCTTGATCTATTTTTCTTTATTTTAAAAACTTTGTTGTTAGTTTTTGACATAGAAAAAGTGTTTCTTTTTAAATTTGATTAATACTTGTACCTACTAAATTTGATATTAGGTCACCATGCTGTGGGCTTCGTTTTACTTCGATATATTTATAACTCACTTGGATAACTTTTTGTTCGCAATTTTTTTAGTTTGCTGTATTTTTTATTTATCTACTATTTTACTTATATATACTTATAACGATATTGATGTTTTTCATAAATTGCTCTTAAAGAATCAATTACTCAAAACATTCTCTTTGTTACAGATTTCTGATGACGAACACACGCAGCAATCAACGATTCTGCAACTCAGAAACTTCTTGGGCCAGAAAAGAACTCTACAAACATGTGGATTGCTTACACCACAACCATCAGATTCCGAACCAGAAGAACATGATATCCCGTTGAAAAAAAGGTACCGCATCAGTAATCCAGAAATTCCGTACCCACCCCCAACAATAACTCCACCTAAATCGCCTTCAAAAACACCACCCCCTTATTCTCTACCCACTCCTAGTCCTATTCCTTTAATTAAATCAACTTCACCGATTATCCCCAAACCTAATGTAGTTCCTCAACAAACATATGCTCCAGTTCAAATATTTTTCCCACCCTCGCCACTAGTTACACCTGTTCCAAAGCCGCAGCCCACACCCACTAGATCAGTTTCTGTTATTATGAAAGCCAACAAAACTGGTATCTGCACATCCTTGCCAATTCCTCAACTCAAAGAAAAAGGGGAAGAAAATTTACTGAAAAGTTTGAAGTTTAAGATGGGAAAGAACAAGGAACGAGTAGAAAACAGTGAAAAAGATGTCTCGAGGGAGGAGAAGGAAGAAGCCAAGCCAGAGCCAGTAGTTACCCAGAAAATATCCCTGCCTATTCTAGCTCCTAAATTGATATCTCCAGCCACCTCAAACACAATATTCATCTCAGCCGATGGCACAGTTCTGCCCACGCAGTTCGTTCTCATCACTCACACGCCTCCAACCACAGTACCAACCAGAAGAAGAGTCTACGAATGCAAGTATGAAGGTTGCGGCAAAAACTACTTCAAATCCTCTCACCTTAAGGCTCACAACCGCATCCACACTGGCGAAAAACCGTTTGTATGCCAATGGGCCGACTGTGGACGGAGATTTTCGAGGTCTGACGAACTCTCCAGGCATAAAAGAACCCACACCGGGGAAAAGAAGTTCAAATGCTCCCATTGCCAAAGGAAGTTCATGCGATCAGATCATTTGGCCAAACACGTTAAAAGACACAGCAAAGAAAGGTTGAACACCCAAAAAGTTAATGTGATGCCTGTACTGAGACCAATTCAACCTGCACCTAAGTTGTCATAATTTTGACAAGGAGGTCAATTTTTTGCATAATCTTCGTATTTTTTTGTGGAGTTTATTTACAGGAAATTGTATATTTTCGGGATGTTGTAACATGCTGTGATAATTGTTCATATTTCGTTGATAACTTCATTAAGATAAAATTATAGCAATATGTGTCAATCACGATATTTTCTAAATATGTCATATGGTTTCTATTGATTGCATAAAAAGTGGGCAGCAAAGAAATATCGACAATCATCATAACAAATATTATCACGTTTCCATGGTCTGTTCTAATATAATGATCTCTAAATATTTAAACAGTTGTAGTTGTTAACATTTATTTTCCTATCTTATCTGCAGTTGCTAAATTTGGTTTGTTTGTTCGTTGAAATTCTTTTGATTTGAAATCGGCAGACACTAGTTTTTTTTTTCTGCAGTCATATATGAGAATAGGTACATTCCTCTTCAGATCATGTCAATGCATTAGTGAAAAGTAATTTCACATTTTTATCTGTGATTTATGAAATTTATTTATTTTCGATGTATTATTAGCTTGTAATTGTTATAAATGTAGATATTGTAAAAATAATTTTCAGTTTTTTTATACCTTTCAATTATAATTAATGTAATAAAATATTTTGTAATATAATGACTAGAAATAAACATTTTGGTCAATAAATGATATATAATTCAATTCTTGTTTTTTTCATCTCTAATATAAGAAAACATGCATTCATTGAAAGAGAAATTTGATCGGTCAATTGATGACAAAGCAAAGAAGTCAACTACTTCATTAGTTTATTAAAATAAGTTTTTTTTTTATTTTGTTTTATAAGCATCCTAAGATGCTTAATAGCAGATTCTAAGTAAAAAACAACAAAAGTGAAGTACATTCAAAATAGTTTGTGATGTTATGAAAACTATAAGATTACTAAACATTAAAACAAACTCAATGAGAAAAAAACCTGAATTAGAGCACTACTGTTTGTAGTGTAGTATAGTGAGTTTGCTGTGTTTTAATGTTAAAATAATCTTATGGTTTTTATAACATTAGAAAATCTTACAAATTATTTTGTATGTTCTTTACCCATGTTTTTTTTATTTATAATTTTACACCGTTACTAGTAAGTAACTACCAATATAGTAGTTAACTTCTTTAATTTGCCAAAACTGACCAATACCAATATATTCACCAATTGAATGCAACAACAAAAAACGATAATACAAAAAATTACTTATGAAGTATTAGGAACAGAACAACGACAAAAACACCACGAACCACCATGGATGATAAAAAACGTAAAAGAAATGATAAAAAAAAACAAAATATATAAGAAATGGCTAACAAATACAACATCTAGCAATAGAGTAACATATCAAAGGACAAACGGAGAAGTACGCAATCAAATAAAAGAAACAAAAAACAATTTCTGGAAACAAAAATGTGTCCAAGTTGAAAATTTAATTGGTGGTTCGGAACCATTGGACAGACTGGAAGCATGGAGAACTATCACTAATCTAAAAAAAATACCCATAACTCCTTAAGCAACTTAATTCCTATAGAAAAGTGGTGAAATCACTACAAAAATTCACCAGTCCAGATTGGAATGTATGAGAGAGGAATAGAGTATGGAGAGACAAACAAATAGTAGACTATCAGAGCCAATAAGAGTAACTAAAGGACTAAGACAAGGATGCAGCATGTCACCCTTACTGTTTAATTAATATATTGAGGCAGCCCTTCAAAATTGGAAAAACCACTGCCAGGGAATGAGAATCCCCATAATAAATGACGTATACTGTTCTCCCTGAACTTTGCGGATGACCCAGTAGTCCTAGCTCAAGATTTTTATGATCTAGAATTTATGATAAAGTGTCTATTCAGAGAATATGTACAATGGGGGTTACAAGTCAGCATGAAGAAAACAGAATATTTAGTTTGTGTGTATCAATTCAGATACAAGGTTTGAAGTGTTGATATACGAGGACGTGGAAATCAAACAAGTGGAAAAATTTAAATATTTAGGTGAATCATTGGTAAGAACGGCTTGGGAGAAACCGAAATTAATCAACAACGTTACATTGTAACTTGTCTTTGTCGACTTTGAAAAAGCATTTGATACGGTCAATTAAAGTGAAATGCTCCAAGCTCTAACACAATGTAGAATAGATCACCGATACATAACCCTCATCAGATACATATATCAGCATGCTACAGCCTGTGTAAGACTTAATAAAGATACTGGGACCTTTCGTATTAAAAAAAGCGTTCAGCAGGGAGACAACATGCGTCCTAAATTATTTACAACTTTGCTAGAATACACTTGTAAAACAATAGATTGGAACAAAAAGGGCATCAATGTAGATGGAAATTTTTTAAATAACCTTAAATTTGCAGATGATATCGTTCTTATTGCAGACAGCTTTGATCAGGCACAGATAATGCTCCAAGAACTACATACTGCCACAAAAAGAGTTGGTCTTAAAATAAATTTTTCAAAAACACAATTTATGACAAATTTAGTCCACAACAAAAACATCTCAGTAGAAAACAAAGATATAGAGCCTGTTGACTCCTATAATAAATACTTGGGCCATGAGATCAGAATAAGTCGAAACAACCAAACAATCGAGCTTAAAAGAAGAATAAACCTCGCTTGGGCTGCATTTGGAAAGATAAAGGATATTATATACAGAGTGGCCCAATAATTTTGGACGCGGCTAATTATCTCGCAAATTACTGGACATAATTATACAAAATTTGAGGTACGCCTATTTTGGGATACGGAGATTCCATATTTGGTATTTGCAATGTTGCCAGATTTTCAGTTTCTCTTATATTACTAGTAACTTTGGTTTTTCAAATGCATCACCCTGTATATTCAGTCATTATTGGAATCTCCTATTAAATACGAGTTCAACCATATGTAACACTTATGATTTTATGTAGTCTGGAAGGTCTTAAATACATAAAACAGAAGTCTGGCAACGCCTAAATTGTTTCAATACATTTTTTAATACTAACTATTTTCAAATACATTAAAACGTAACAATTGATAGTTTAGAATATTTTTTAACATAATAGTTACGTTATTAAGTGTTCAAAATGTGCTCCATTTGTGAGTTGACAGCACTCTAATCGATGGTAGAATGCGTCTACCACATTTCTCCATGATTGTCTAGAAATTATTCGAGATTCATCGATAATTCATTGCCTTAGCTATGCAAGACTTGCTGGTTAAGTTTTGTAAACTAAATTTTTCAAGTATCTCTAATAAAAATAATCTTTAGGATTGAGATCGGGTGAACGTGGAGGCCATTCAATTCTATCTTGTCTACCAATTTATCGTCCGGGAAATATCTCATCTAAATAACGCCGAACATTCACACCAACTATCTGACGTTAAATTTCTTTCGATAAAAAATGGCCCAATTAAATAAGTACCTACTATAACTGACCATACATTTAATTTTTGTGGTCTTTGAGTATAGCTTTCACGCATTCAGTGTGAATTTCACACGAGTTCAGCTATTCAATACGAGTTCAACCATATGTTCACTTGATTTTATGTAGTCTGAAAGATCTTAAATACATAAAACAGTGCAAAATATGTAGATTTTAATAAACTTAAATATTTAAATGGAGAATGCTGTGATTTTGACATTTGTTCACCATTTAAATTATGAACTAAAATTGACAGTAGTTGTGGTTCAAAAAGTTCTGCAATTTAAATTGCTTCTCTAAAATGTCGTTCTCTAAACCGTTCTGCTATTCATAAGACGACGGTACAAAAAACTGTAAGGCGATTTGAGGAATCTGGAGAAGTAAAAGATAGATACCGATCAGGTTGACCGAAACGAGTTATCAATGACAACAAAACTTCAGATATAGGTAAGCAAAGTTTTGTTGAAGATCCACATACTTCCCCAGGCAGGGTTGCACAAGTACATGATGTAGGTCATTCTTCAGTCTTACGTTTATTAAGTAAAAATAAATGTAAATTATACAAAATTAACTTATTGCAAGAATTAAGTGAAGATGGCTTTGGTCGTAGATTAGAGTTGACTGAGGTAATGATGGATAAAATTGAAAATTATTAAAATTTCGTTAACACAATATGTTTTTCCGATGAAGCAACTTTTACACTGTGTGGAAGTGTAAATCGACACAATTTAAGGTACTGGTGTGACGTAAATTCACACTGAAGACTGAATGCGTGAAAACCATACTCAAAGACCACAAAAATAAAATGTATAGTCAGATATAGTAGTTACTTATTCAATTGGGTCATTTTTTGTTGAAAGAAATTTAACGTCAGATAGTTGGTGTAAATGTTCGGCGATATTTAGATGAGATATTTCCTGGACGATAAATTGGTAGACAAGGTAGAATTGAATGGCCTCCACGTTCACCCGATTTCAATCCTAAAGATTATTTTTATTAGGGATACTTGAAAAATTCAGTTTACAAAACTTAACCAGCAAGTCTTGCAGAGCTAAGGCAACGAATTATCAATGAATCTCGAATAATTTCTAGACAATCATGGAGAAATGTGATAGACGCCTTCTACCATCGATTAGGGTGCTGTCAACTCACAAATTGAGCACATTTTGAACACTTAATAACGTAACTACTATGTTAAAAAATGTTCTAAATTATCAATTGTTACGTTTTTAATGTATTTGAAAATAGTTAGTATTAACAAATTTATTGAAACAATTTAGGCGTTGCCAGACTTCGGTTTTATGTATTTATGACCTTCCAGATTACATAAAATCATAAGTGTTACATATGGTTGAACTCGTATTGAATAGGAGATTCCAATATTGACTGAATATACAGGGTCATGTATTTGAAAAACCAAAGTTACTAATAATATAAGAAAAACGGCAAATCTGGCAACATTGTAAATATCAAATATGGAATCTCCGTATCCTAAAATAGGTGTACCTCAAATTTTGTACAATTATGATTAGCATTTTACGAAATAATTAGCCGTTTCCAGACTTTTGGGCCACTCTGTATAAGGATATTAATGTGTATTTTACCAGTGATGACCTAGGGCGCAGAAACCCTAGCACTCACAAGAACAACAATGAGTAAACTACAAGTTGCGGAAAGGGCAATGGAGAGAATAATGTTACGGATTTCTCTACGTGGTTGAATACCCAATGCTACTATATGCAAAATATCAGGGGTAGCAGACGTTATTGAAAGGATAACAACACTAAAGTGGAACTGGGCAGGTTATGTAGCAAGATCAGTTGATGACCGGTGGACAAAAAGAATTTTTGGAATGAAGACCCCGAATACAAGCTAACAGAAATAGAGGTCGACCCCCAACGAGATGGACAGGTCATGCAGACCTGAAGAGAAGATTGTTGGCAGTTTAAATGGATTATTTTAGAAGAAGTGCTAGAACATCAAGGCTAAAAAGGAAGACCAACGAATCTATAAGAAATA